ACAAAGAGGGAATGGATAAAGCCGAGTTGAAGATTTGGCTCTGTTCGGCTTGGAGGGGGCATTTCGCCTCTTCTCTCGTTCCTCGTGATCGTTTCTCTTAACTAGCAGGTCTTAATTTGATCTGACCAGGAAAATCCTGTAAAGCTGCGAAACCGTAAGAGTGAGCCACTTGGTCACAGGAGTGACCGGTCTTCATAAGGTGGCCGCTTGTACAAGGTTCCCTGAGTAATATTCGCTGTCCCCATTTAGCCTAACTATACCGAAACTTTCCCCCAAAAAAATCAGTAAAAACGTCCGTTTTACACCTCATTCGGCCGTAATTCTCTCTAGCGGTGAATGAGGTTGGTGAGGCCAGAAATTCGAGCGATTATACCCCTTCTAGGAGGAATTTGATAAATGTAACTGTCAGTTCCTCGTATATAGAGCCTTAAGTTCCTCTGAGCTTCTGCCCCTCCTGATTAGAATAGCGACCAAATTCTTTTCCTTCTCGTTCTCAGATGTCTTGAGTCTGTTTACGTGTCCCATCAAAACGGATAGTCTGCGATGGTGTTTTAGCTTCTGGGATAAGACGGGAAGAGGATTGGACAGGTATTGATTAGGGACTCCGCCCAACTGGAGAACCGATGTCTCATCAACGTGCAGCGTTGTCGATGATGAATCAACCTCCGATTTCGTCCCTGGATATTCGTCTGCCGCGATGCCTTCCTCCTCTTTTCTTCTTCCCTTCTCCTTTTCTTTCCCTCCTTCTTTTATTTTTATCTTTATTCCCCTCCTTTCAAATGCTCGGTCAGAAGCCTTCTTCCCCTATTTCACTCCATTCAAACGCTCGGTTAGAAGGCCCGATGAGAAAATACATGTGGACTCTCCTAGCGAGCGAACATCCCGTTGAAAGGCCCTGTAATCCCTCTGATTCGGGCTCTCCTGTTGAGCAGAGCCAGGTCTTTATGACGTATTTCAATCCTTTTCACTGATCCTTGTTGGTGGATGAACACTGCCTGGGCGTTGACACGTTTTCAGAATGGAGGGGACCACTTCGTTGCGCTTCTGTGTCTGTCCCCCCCTAGCGAAAGTTCAAGTCCGGAGCGCAGACAGTCAGAGTTGCCTCAGGTAGCTCTTGCAAAAAGTACAGACTCTGCGCCACTGCACCCATCTGCGCTCTAAGCTTAATTTTTATTGTGAGTGAGGTCGCGATCTAGTCACATTGTACGGATCCCTCACCCCCCCCCCCGAATAAAGTTGTAAGGCGCCCTAATTAGAAGTGATTTTGCGTCAGCAGGTGGGCAGAGTAGTTGGTATTCTAATATGAATTCATATTTCTCCAAGGTACATCAAGTCGAATCTCTCATTCCCGGATCTGTTACATTTTGGAGTTGAGCTCAAAGAGCCTTCGAGTTAAATTGAATTTCCTGAGGTTTTTTCTAGAGGGGAAGAGTGTGGAAACCTTGTAGGGTATATCCCTGCAGTAGTTGGTAAGCTTTTTTGAACCTCAACCTCGATGACTCAGTCTGTTATTCCTGGGTCAAACGCGGTCTATAGGTGGATCGGGGTCAATGTACCGAATAGACATCCACTCGTCTACTAATCGTATTCAGCCGATGTGCAAACATCTCCAATATAATCCTCTAGTTGGGCGAATTAGCTGATGTTATATCTTGTTCGCTGCAAAAGCGGGGGTGTTGTGTGGGGCTGCCTCTGGCGCGCTGCCAGCTCGTTTTACACCAATTGTTGAAGCGGCGGCGCCACGCCAAACTTAGGCCCTTAACCGCTCAGTCCGCAGCAAACAGGACCGTACTTGAGAGAACGGCGCTATGCTGTCGGTTTTCCGTTTCCACGGACCCCATGATCGATATGTATACTTTCTTTATTGCGGATTATTCTGTGGAGCAAAGTGTGAACGCGGCCTTATATGGCCCTTCAGAGGGTTTGATACAGCTTTTATTTTCATTCTTATTTGTGTGGACTGACTCAAAGCTGTAATCGTTTTTTTTTTCGCCAACGGTCACGTTACTTCTGTACTGTGCCGTTTTCACTCTGATGTACTTTACTGCAGCAAAGAAAAGTTTTTAACGAGACTGGAACCGGTTTTCAACGGTCTAGACGCTGGCCTTGTCGTGAAAGGTCAGTCGCAATGCGCGATAACTGCCGTCCACGAAGGAATAGCAAGCAAGCAAATGAAGCTGCTAATATTTTGTTCCTTTGAAGGGCCCTTTGTGCAAAATTGGGTTTTCCATGAACTGCACGAACTATTGCACTAAATGCCTATCTCCGTGGAAATTTGTCGGGCGCCGATTGTAATTGGAGGTAGCCAGTAGGTGCTTGCCGGCCCGCCGGTGCAGTGTTTTTTGTTTCAATCCTGTAGTAGTGATCCAGGTGTTATAGTGACTGGAGGACGGGGGAGGGGTGTGCGGGTGGGTGGGGGCGTTTGCCGCGCCGTTGTGTCCGCGCCTATCCGTTCCCCCAAATCCCAAAAAAGGTTCAGGCTAGAGCGCAGACCGCCACAGTTGCCTAGGGATAGTCCTGCAGAGAAGACATATCCTTCACTAAGAACAAGCCTTGATTAGAGAAAAGGTACGGTTAATGCCCCCAAGTCACTACGTTGGCGCCGTGATCCCTTCAATCCAGCATACTCAACGGGTAAGTGATAGCACACAATCATAGGTGCTTTTGTATCGCTGGGATAGATTACTTCCAATCCGCTGGCTCCCTGCCGCACAATGTGCCGCGCGCGACAACGTACGATTGTCTTAACCGTCTCCCAGGTTCGGCAATAGAAGGAGGCGCCAGAACTAGAGTGCTGAGGCGCAAGTGGCGCGCTCTATCATCGCTGCGGCGTTAGTCCCAAACAAGCACATCGCTTTTTCTTCACATCGGTCAAGAATTTCTGTATTGTAGATTTACTATTTTGCGGAGTATTGGCAAGCTTTGTCGAATTTTTTCTTGCTTTTTGATGGTACTAGAATCACGGAGAGGTTCAAGGAAATGTATCACGCGTTTGTTGTATGGTATGATTTAAACCCAGAAAATTTTCATAGATTCGTCAAATGTGTTCGCAACCGCACACATTGCGCTAGATTTGACGGCAGAGTTGATGCAACATTTTCTCTTCCGCTGCACGTATTCAGGTTTTTTCTTGCTATGTGCGCCTGCAGATTTCAACATTGGCGGGGCAAACAACGTTCTCGAGTATATTTCTGTCAGATATTAAGAAATGGCTACTACCATTTTTACCACAATGTAGTACCAGCCTCTTTGACCGATTACTTCTCCTCATTGATGTCTTTTCACAGTTACTTTGTTTGAAGTCTATTTTTCTTTGGATGAAATCGTAACTTCGTAGAGTGTGTTGTATGCCGCTTGAGGGTATCCCTTAAAATGTCATGACGTAGCTTGCAACATGTTCTAACACACCTGTCGATGCGATATCTTCTCAGATGACATGTCCTAACAAGTACAGGATTGATATTGCCCATCAACAGCATTCACAGTACCATTGCTATCGACACGTGCGAATAGCACCCCTAACATTATCTACCCTAATCTGTTTAGTTCAGGGTGAAGTTTTTACAAAAATTTGAAGAGCAGCCTGATTCGAATTTAGCCATTCGTTCATTCGTGCCACTATCAGTTGTGATTTTGGATTTCTACTCCGCTTGTGCTCCTGAATATTTCGTTAATCTTTTCCATTTTTCTTACTATTCTGCGTTTCCAAATTGATGAGGCATTCAGTAGATGCGCTTGCGTCATTATTACGGGAAATCGGAGGGATTAATTCGAGCATTCGTGGGGTAGCACTGTCAAGTGCTACCCACGAATGCTCGAATTAAAGCTGCTGGCTTACAGCTGCTTGAACCGTGTTCAGTCACATTTCCGGACAGAGAACGTCTACGCCAGCGAGGGCGAGTCGCATTTGGTTGATGGAGGGAGGGGTTGCCCTGTAGAAAAAAAATGTTTTCGAATGTTGACTTTTCTAGGTTTTTCCCTGTTTGGGGTGGGGATGGAAGGAGGTGGTCGAACCAGAGGAGGAAGTTCTGAGGGACGTACTTCGCGAAAATTTCTCCCAACGGCAGGATGTGTCATGTTTCCGGATTAGCCGTCAAAGAGAATGCATACCCATTGATTGATGACTTACCCTAAACTGAAGAACTTCTTATCAACAGTGCCGCCATGTTGTCGATGTCGCATCACTTGGTTTCAAGTGTTTGTTTTCGTGGAATTTCGGTTCTTCATTTCTTTGGTTCTCCTTTTCGTTGTGTATCTTCTAGTACTTTTCGCTGGACGAAACTAAACGTCAACATTTATCAAGTTAGAGTCTCCGCATTCTTTCAATACGGTATGGATGCCCCTAGAATAGGAGTGTTGTTTTTGTGTCGTGTGCTTCTCTACAAGAACTTCTGGCGTGAACATTTTTGCAAGTAGCTAAATGTTCTGCTTCCTAGCGCATGGCTTTTTTAGACCGAAGGACTTAAAGCGGTTCACTTTCTTAGGCGAAATGCGTTTTAGATAATGCTTGAACTTAACAGTTCGTCTCGCATTGGCTTACCGCCATCTAATTTCGTAGCTCAGGCAGTCTCCGGAGCTATTTTCTGTTACGATTTTTATTCCAGCGCGTTTTTTTCTAGTACTGCAAGGCATTTAGTAGTGGGAGATGTTCATTTATTGGTCAGGTGTAGCGCGGAGCGGTGTAGCAGGGTGTCGGTTTGCCAGCAGGTCCGGATAACTCGTAGAATGTGGCTATCAGGAAGGGGTTTTCTTGAGAGTGTTGATTTTTGAAATTTGTCCTTTTACTTTTTCTCCAACAGATAAGCGCAGGGTTGTGCTAATACGCTCACTTCGTCCGGTTTTTCCCATTTCATTTTTCTGGGACTTCCGTTACCGACTAATAACTTGTTCATCTGACCTGTTTGACCGCGTTCTTCCTATTTGCGGCTCGTTTGGCTGTGCCATTTTTTTATTTTTCATTTTTTATCCGTGGATCTAAAAAGTCGAAATGGTTCCAGATCATGCTTCGCGTGTTGCTTAGTGGGCCGGCAGGCAGTGGGAAGAACACCATAGCGAAGATGTTGTTGAAAGAATTTGATCAGTTTGGATATTTTTCTGCTGGTGACGTCATCAGAGATCATATTCAGCGAGGCACAGGTACTATTTTAAAGATTGTCCTCCAGTTTTTATTGGTAGGGTAAGTGATGGATACTTTGATTCTGCCTGTTCAGTCATTCAGTTCGCATTTATCGTGCAGCCGTTTTATTCAGCTCAGAAAAATAGCTAAGTCATGTTGCGTTTATACTTTGCGACTCGGGAGAATCCGCTTTCTTTAGTGAATTGTCGGGAAGAAGATATAGGTGCTGATTGTCGCCAATCGCTAGAGCTTTGGGAGAAACAGGTTTTTGACCGAATCGGCGTTCTGAAGGTAATCAATAGTATGGGTATCGATCGGCTCCTGGAATGGTGATTCGAGGGGAACGCCGATTCTCCCAAAACCCTAGCGACCGCAGCCTATCGATACCCATACTCTCCTTTTGCGAATCGCTCAAAACGCCAATTCTCGAGAGTCGCAACGTGTGAATGTTTTCCCCTTTTTTCCTGGCTAATATTTTCACGGTGATGACTGCTCTTCAGAATTCGGTCAACGAGTTGCATCATTTGTACGCAAAGGTGAACTTATCCCGGATAGCATAGTTAATGGTATTCTACTCGAAGAGATACGTCACTCTGGAAACAAACTGATCTTGAACGGTACGTATAGGCAACTCGATTTGCTTTTTTTTTGCTCTGAAAGTCCTAACTTGTTGGTTGTGGGACAGCCGATGGGCTAATCGAACTTGGGTGCTTGACAAGTCTCCTGGTCAGGTCATCCACGTCATGTTCAGCGAACCTTGGATTTTTGCCGAACATTTCACTTCCAGCTATGAGTCATGCATTTGGAAACTTGTTTGGTCGAATAGTATAGTCATAGGCCTGAGGATTCCGGAAAAAGGAACGGAATCCTCAGGCCCTCCCCAATCCTTATGTAAAACAGCGAGTAACACCCAATCTTTATTGTAGACGTCCTCAGTAAGGGGAAATGCAGAATACAGTAGTGACGTGCCGGCAGCGGCGAAGCGACAGGCGGCTGGTCCGATCCGGTTGAGCGGCAGAAGACGAACCCGTGTGGGTCACAACAGCGCCTTATATCTCCGGGGCGCACGTGGGT